GAATGAAATGATTTAACCATGGCAAACATCCAGGACACAAACTTGGCATATGGTTAAGGGCAAAGGAAGTGTTCATTTTCTCTTATAGGAAGATCAATGGACCTTTACAATGTTAGTTGTGACTCTAGGTTGGTTCTTAAGGAGTAGTGTGCTGGAGCGGGGTCCCCAGAGTGTACCCAAATTGGCTCCTCTCCATTGAGATTTCTCCAAAGGACAGCTGGTTTAGAAGGCTGTGCCTAGAGCTGCCAGGGAAATAGAGAGCTCCAGATGGTTTCCAGGAATCTGCGCTGTCCCCTGGCAGCTACTTACTCTGGGGTTAGGTCATAATGTTCCACTGCACATCTCTGGGGCCAGTCAGATAGGGAGTGTGTGCAAAAAATAATAATAATTGGATTATTGATTGCTTTCTGCAGAGCAATCACGTTCATTGGAATATGTGTGGCAATGTTTTTCTTTTGTTGTTTTTAAATGAGAAAGGATGGTGAATTGTTTCTTTCGTATCTCTTGCATTAAGGGTGGCATTGGATATGGAAGTTATGATCTGAACAATTCCAGTAAGAAGAGCTATAATTTCAAGCCAGGTACAGGTAGCTCATGCCTATAATCTTAACTATTTAAGAGGCTGAGATCTGAAGATCATACTTTAGTGCTAGCCTGGGAGGACAAATCTGAGAGATTCTTTCCTCCAACTAATTAGCAAAAAACTGGAAGTGGTGATGAAGCTCCCGAGGCAGTGTGTCAGCTGTGAGCAGAAAAGCTGAGTGAGAGTGTGAAGCCTTGAGTTCAAGCTCTAGTATCAGTTCATGCATGCACGTGCGCACAGACACATAGACATACACACAGACACAGACACACACATACACAGATACACATAGACACACATACATTCACACACACATGCGCACACACATACGCCAAGGACCTCTTAGCTTTAACAACCAGAAGAGATGCTTATTTGGACAACCTGAGAAGTTAACTGTTTTTCTAGATATTGAATGCTCCCTGTTCTTTTAAATCACACAAGAGAAAAAGAGTCCAATCAAAACACATTTGTAGGGGCTGGGAAGAGGCTCAGTGGTAGAACAATTGCCTTGCAGGCATGAGGCCCTGGGTTCGATTCCTCAGCACCACATAGGCAAAAAGAAAAAAGCCGGAAGTGGCGCTGTGGCTCAAGTGGTAGAGCGCTAGTCTTGAGCTGAAGAGCTGAGGGACAGCACCCAGGCCCAGAGTTCAGGTCCCACGACTGGACCCCCCCCAAAAAAAAAACACCACATTTGTATTGTACAAAGACCTGGGGTATTTCTTCTTGTGGAGCTCACTTATTGTCTAGTGTGTGTTCTTTTAGTCTGACACATTCTCTGTATTATTTCTTGGAGCATAGCCCTACGAGCAACATGTGGTTAGATATTCATTTCTTTCTCAATTTCCATTTTGAAGGATGGCTTTATTAGATACAATTCTTGGCAGCTCCCCACACTCATCTTGTCATATCATTTGGATATGTCATCCAGCTATCTTTTGGGCCCCTTGGTTTTTAATGATGAATCAATTGTCTATATCTTATTGAGATTTCCTTGTTTGTGATGAATTGTGATGAATTCTTGCTACTCGGAATATTTTCTCTCTTTCTTTTCTTTTCTTTTTTCCCACCCGTGGGTCCTGGGGCTTGAACTCAGGGCCTGGGCACTGCCTCTATGCTCTTTTGCTCAAGACTACTGCTCTACCACTTGAGCCACAGTTACAATTTTGGCTTTTGATGGTTAATTGAGATAACAGTCTCATGGACTTTTCTTCCCTAGGTTGACTTGGAACTGTGATCCTCAGATCTCAGCTTCCCAAATAGTTAGGATTAGAAGAATGAGCCACCAATGCCCAGCTTTCTCTTTTCTTGGACAATTTTGTTTTTAAATTGCTTCATTGTCATTATTTCTTAAAAATATTTATTTATTGAAGAACCAGGTTGTTTGACCTGTAAAGTTTTCCAAGCTGGGGTTTTGCAATTGCATTTCTAATGCAGTTCAATAGGTTCCTTTTGTAACTTGGGTTTTTAGACCCCAGGCCCAAAGTCCAGGAGTCTGAAATTAGGTCCAGTCCCTCATCCCCATATGCCAAATAGACATGTTGAGGGGCAAAGAAAGATTACTTACATGGCAGCCATGGGAAGACAGCACTTCAGTATCTCTTCAGCCATCCTCAGGGGCACAGATATTAACTTGAGGTTAAATAGGGAGAATTAGGAGTAGAGGTAAGAAAGATGTGCAGAGTTAAAACAGTCCTAAGTTGAAGGTACGACCTGGTTAACTGTGAGCTCAGTCTTTGTCCTTGGTACGACCTGGTTAACTGTGAGCTCAGTCTTTGTCCTTGGAGAAGGTCCAGGGAAATTATCACTTTATTACTGGAACAGAATAGGAACAAGGTGGTCTCTTGAGTTTTGGGCTCTTTGTTTTTAAGATGATAAGAAGTCATATCTGGTATGATGGGCAGTCTGCCTTCCTTACAAGATGATTATCTGAATCTTCTCCTTCCTCTTGCAGACAAGGTGAGAGCAAAGGGACTGCAGCAGAGAATAGCTCAGATCAAAGGGTGCAGATAGATAGAAAGTTGGAGGATTCTCATTTAATTCACAGGCTCCACCAAAATCATCTTTCACATGGCCTCATGTTTTAGCAGCAGTGTGTCTCTTTTGCTGAAGGCACAATGTTCAAATTTTGAAGCTATCTGGAATACCTGAAACCAGATAACCTGAAGGTAAAAATGTTTTGGCTTTAGTTCACTGTTCTGGAGACCCAAGAACATTGTATAGCATCTATTTGGCTTCTGGTGAAATCTTTATGGTAAGGTACATGTGGACAGAGAAGCTGACTTGCTTTACAACAATATGTTCTCACAAAACTAACCCATTCCTAGTAGAACTAATCTCAGCTCAAGGCTCCACCTCCTAACACTCAGGCCTTAGCAATCAAATGTCAACATGAATATCGATGAGGTCAAACCTTACCTAAAATCATAGCAAAGGCCAGTTCTCTAATGCAGTCTTAGCGCAGGATGCATAGGGTTCTTTGCATATTTATGTTTTGAAATTTAAAAAGAAATATGGAAATCTCATTCAGCCAATCCTGGGTCTGCTTAGCTGGCAATCAGACAAAGAAAATCTAATATGTGGATTGTTGAAACTAAAGGTCTTAGGATCTTATCTGTAGCTATAATAACCTTAGTAATATTCCAGTATAGTATGTTAATTACCTTGAATGCTGGATTAGTACCCATCATAATTGTAAAAACCACCACTTAAATAGTGCTTGTTTTTTGCTAAGGATTATTGTAACCTATTTGGCAAATTACTATATTAAAATACAGGTTTTAACTACATCAGCCTAGAAGATTTCAAGTTTTTTTTTGTTTTGTTTCTAGTCTTAATGTGATTAGAAAAGCCCCTCACAGTCCACATTTTAGATTGGGATTTAGAGATTTTTCTGTCTGAGAAGCAAAATTTTATCATCTCTCTTTTTTAATCCTTAAAAAGTAGCTATTCACTGAGGTTAAGAGAGTTAGAAAGCATGTCACTGAAATGGAGATGCTTGGTCTATAAATCTAAGTTTGCAAAATAGGAGGAGAAAAGAAGAAGAAAGAAAAGGAAATAAAGGAAGGAAGGGAAGGAAAAAAAGAAGGGAAGGGAAGAAGAAAAGAAGGGAGTCAAAGAGAAGAGGAAGAAAAGGAAGTGAAGAGTAATGAAAGAAAAGGAGGGGAAGAAAAAGGAAGAGAAGAAAGGAAGAGTCTAGTCTGGAGCTTCTAATTCATCACTTAAAATTCTTAGCTGATACATAGTAATTCTATATATGGAGAGCTGTGTGATTTCAATGAATGCAAACAGGGCATTGATCCGATGAGGGTAACTAGTATCTGCCTCCCATCAAATCTTTACCTGTTTGTTTGGACCACTTTCCTCTCTGTAAATGTCAATAGGAGCTGCCCACCACACATTCCTTGTGCTCAATCACAGCTCACAGGCCAAGCATCTTAAAGAGGTCTGGCAGTAGCTCTCTCTCCCTGCCCCCTGGTAGAGATGGAAGAGCCAGGTTTTTTCTCTGAATCTGCCTTTCTGAGAGCACTGCACAGCTGGTGATCAGAAAGCTAGGCTTAGCAGCCATGGCGAGGGGGTGGGAGGGAAATGCAGGTTCTATAATGCAATACTATATGAATTCCCCACCCCACCCCCAGCACACACACACACACACACATCCATCCTCCCTGAGCTCTAGCTGCAGGAAAAAAATCTTGGTATATAACCAGATTAGGAAAAGCCTGCCACCTGGCCTCTTCTGCTGCCACTAGCTTCTGGGGCTCTAGAGATTAGTGGGAGGTGGCTTTGTTGGGGACAGACATTGAAATGTCAGCTTTGGTTAAAGGCATGTTCTTTGTTTAGCTTCTGGGAAGGAGGAAGATTACACCCTCCTGGCTGCCTCTTTTTGCTTTTCAACATGTCTACCCTTCTGTGGACCATGGGGTTGGTGCTGCTTTTAGGAGAACCTTACTCACTGTGTGAATGGGTGCTGGCAAAAGATCTATGTTGATCTCTCACACTTGGCATGTGGCAGCCAGAGAAAAAAGACATAAATCATGGGTTGGAGGCACAAATGGTTATTAATCCACTTTCCCAGGTAAAGGAAGAGAGGCATCCATGCCTAACTGCTGTCACGGGAACTCTCCCAGAGGAGGTGGTCTGGCCAAGGTTCTACTGTTCATTCATTAATTTATTTAACCTTTCATTGGAGGAGCTGACTTATGAATTTATTTGCTCATGCACTAAGCCTCAATCAGCCGGCACGGGCAACAACTGGGAGCCCTCTTTCTCATCTCCTACAAGCCTAGCACTAAGATGGCATGGCCTTGGGATGCAGGCAATGGAAGCATAATGCCCCTGTTCTGTTCAGTGACCAGGGCAAGACCCAGTGTGGTTCTGGATACTGAATAGGATCTCTCCCACATGTTTCTTTGCAGGCATGAGCCTGGCCTCAGTGACGCTGGCCAGTGCACTGCAGGTCAGGGGTGAAGCTCTGTCTGAGGAAGAAATCTGGTCCCTCTTGTCCCTGGCTGCTGAGCAGCTCCTGGAAGACCTTCGCAATGGTAAGAGAGGATTGGGCAATTGAGTTGCAGAAGAGTCAAATGAATGGGAAGCTTTTCAAACATATTTTTGGCTTCTTCTCAACTGGCTGTGAGTCCAAGGTACCTGAATGCGAAGGCAAATGGCACCTACCTAGCAGCTGCATTTGGAGGCTGGCCTGTTTTTTAGTCCCATGTTATGTGGCAGAATGGAAAGACTTTGCTTGAAAGGCATTGGTCTTGTATGATGCTTAAGGAGAGACAGGCTACCTATGCTTGGTCAGATATGGAAGGCAAGGACAACAATCATACAGGACACTCAAACATTCCACCTGATAGATGCTGAGCTTCTCTGTATCGTATCAGAAGACGGAACCCTAGTTGGGTATGGTGAGGCATGCCTGTGGTACCAGCTACTTGGGAGGTATAACAGGATGATTGTGGTCCAAGGATGACCCAGGCAAAAGCACAAGACTCTATCTGAAAAATAAACTAAAAGCAAGAGGACTGGGTATGTAATTTAAAAACACAGGCTTAGCAAGTATGAGGGCCTGAGTTCAAATCCCCAGGATAGCCAAAGGGAAGAGGAGGAGGAAGAAGAGATAATCATCTTGAACAACAAGACTGCATCCATTCAGTACTCTCAAGGGGAGGTTAGTATAACAAATAATTAACCTGTAATACAGGACTGATGTAAAGATATAAGAACGCTTATATCTAGGGCTGAGGGCAGGTACCCAGTGAGGGACAAACTCTGAATGAGAGCCCCCCCCTCCAGGTCGGGGCTTAGACCTGTTAGAGATTTGCTTACAACTTACGATGATAACATGGCTTTCCCAGCGAAGCTGGCCTGCAATCATAACCCAGTCGTGACCTAGGCAATGGCCACCAGTAGTCAGGTGGCCAAGGGGTCTGGACAGGCTCAGATAAGCAGGAAGATGCCCACCTACAATACTTATAACATTGGTGTGGAGAGGGTCTAGAGCAGGTGATCACATGACCAGGCCAGGCCTGGAGGTGGCAGTGGACTCTCTCATCCAGGGCCTATGTCTCCACCTAGATCTCTCACATCCACACTGCCTGGGCACAGCAGATCCCTTGCCTCCTGCAATGTCTCTCTAGTACCCCTTCTGGGCAGGTCGAGCATCACACTATCTGTGCACAGAGATGCTGGAAGGAACAGGTTTCGAAGGATAGATCTGAGGTGTCCAGTCAGTAACTGAAGCAAACACAGAACTCATACTCAAATGTTGGCTCAGAAACCTCAAATGGTTGACCAAAGAGGTGTATACAGCAGAGGCTCACATGTGAGGTCATACATGCTCCAGGAAGTGACAGGGCCCATCATGGGCAAGGTGCACCTGTGCCGATCCCTTCTCCCTCTCCCTGAGTGCTCATGCCCTCTCCTCTGCTCTTGATGTTCCAATGAGCAGTTACAGAGCTCCAGAGGACCAACTGCCTTGGATCCTGGTCTGGCTGTAGACAGCTTCAACCTTGCCCTAATTTCCAGCTCTGGCCTCTTGTAACCTTTTAAGACTTTCAGGCCACTGATACACTTGGGTGCTAATTTTTTGGCCAGCCTTAGCAATCCACGTCCTTGTATGCCAGGATTGAATTTATTCAGGTCTGTGTCTCCCCTGGGTCTGGCTCACAGCCAGTCCCAAAGGCAGACACCTGCCAGGCGCAACCCCTGGGTGGCCCTCCAGATGGCAGCCCTTACTTAATTACCCTATCACTGCCTTGGTTTCAGGTTCCTCAGATTATGTGGTCTGTCCCTGGTCAGTCTTGCTGTCTGCAGCTGGAAGTCTTTCTTTCCAAGACCACGTTTCTCATGTAGAGGCTGCACCATTCAAGGCCCCTGAACTCCTACAAGGATCGAGCAGGGATGAGAAGTTGGATGTGTCACAGGTAAGATGTGGGATCTCTTTGCAGCACCTGCCTCCTGCCCCCCAGGAAAGACCTGTCCTCAGAGTGGCACTTCCAGCTCCCAGCCCAGCCCTGAAGAACCTGGCTCTCAACTTGGAGGTGAGGTGGGCTAAAGAACACTGATCTCAGCCAGGTACCGGTGGTGCATGCCTGGAATCCTAGCTGCTCAGAAGGCTGAGATCAGAAGATCATGGTTCAAAGCCCAGGTAGAACCGTCAGTGAGCCTCTTATCTCCAATTAACCACCAAAAAGATGGAGGTAGAGCTATGGCTCAAGTGGTAGAGCACTAGCCTTGAACACAAAAACTCAGGAACAGCAGGAGGCCCTTACTTCAAAATCCAGTACTAGTGAATGTGTGTGTGTGTGTGTGTGTGTGTGTGTGTGTGAGTGCTCATGCGCATACACACACACACACACACACACACACACACACACACACACACACCCAGAAGCATTGCTTTCATGGTTCCTTGCCAGCTACACATTAGCTCTTTAACAATGTCAAGTCAATATTTTTCTTGTACTGGTCCTGGGGCTTGAACAAAGGCCTGGGCACTCACTATCCCTGAACTTTTTTGACTCCAGGCTAGAGCTCTACCATTTGAGCCATGGCACCACTTCTGGCCTTTCCTGAGTAGTTTATTGGAGATGAGAGCCTTTCATGGCCTTGCCTGCCTGGGCTTGCTTTGAATCGTGATCCTCAGATCTCAGTCTCTTGAGTAGCTAGGATTACCGGTGTGAGTCACCAGTGCCTGGCTCTGCAAGTCAACTTTGATGAGCCCATTTCTACCTTTGTAAACTGGGTTTGACATGACTTAATCTGGAGATCATGAGCATTCAAGAAGTGTTGGACAGGCTGTGGGTAAATGATTTATAATTAAACCATAATATGTCATTTACAGATGGCTTTGGCTCCAAACTCCCAAAAGCCTAAAGTACAATGGCCAGGGTCACAGACAGAGTTATTAGTTACTTAAGTAGGGGGAGATCAGCAGCTCATTGATGTCACTGAAGAGCTACACAGTCTATTTCCATTCTATTCTTTGTACCAGTTGGCATTTTGATCTTATGTTTCTTCATGGTTGAAGATAGCTGCTGCGACTCTATATATGAAATCAGTATTCAAGGCGGAAACAAGAGCAAAAGGGATGGAATCAATCTCACACACTACATACATCAGTGAAGCAAGATTGATTTTTTTTTTGTACTGATACAGGAGCTTGAACTCAGGGCCATTCCCTTAGCTTTTTGCTCAAGACTGGAGCTCTACCACTTGAGCCACATCTTTACTCCTAGCTGATGGCTAGTTAATTGGAGATAAGAGTCTAATGGACTTACCTACCCAGGCTGGCTTCAAACCCTGATTTAGATCTCAGCCTCCTGAGAAGGATTACAGGCATGAGCCAACAGCTTGCAGATACTTTAGTTTTTCAGAAGTTCCTAAGAGATTTCCTCTGTGTGTGTGTATGTATGTATGTATGTATATGCATTTGTGTGTGTATGTATATATGTATATATGTGTGTGTGTATAGGTAGGTATGTATCTTAATCTGGGTGTCATAATTTCTGCTAGAAAGCAGATTTCTGGCTTTCTCACCTGTAGTGTAGGAGGCAGCACTGGGTGAGGGGTGCAGGTGGTGTGGGGTTAGACAGATGACTCTGTGGAATTGACTTTGCTCCCAGGATGATAGAATGCTGGAGATGGCAGACATCTAATTGCGTGCTTTTCCCTTGGACAGGTGCATGTCTATTCTTTGGGAATGACTCTCTACTGGTCAGCGGGCTTCCATGTCCCACCAAACCAGGTCTGTAAATGAATGCTCCAAGTTCTGCTTGGCCTGGCTTTGCTTCAAACTGGGATTTGAGCTCAGGGTCTTGTATTTGTTAGGCAGGTGTCCTACAGCTTAAGCCATACTGTGCTTTTCAGGCACAGCCTTGGATTAGTTTTGTGGTTTTCCCATAGCAGGGCCACATTTATTGAACATGAGCATCACCATGCAGGCAGGCACAGTTGGGACTTCTCAGGGAAGCAGCAAACTAGAGGAATTTCCAGATACAGAGGTACTGTTATCTCTCTCTCTCTCTCTCTTTCTTTCTCTGTGCACTCAAGTGTGCGCATGCCAGTACTGAGGCTTGAACTCAGGGCTTCACACCCTCACTTTACTTTTCATTCAAGGCTGGAGCTAGGTCACTTGAGCCACACCTCCTTTAAGCTTTTTGCTGGTTAATTGTAGAAAAGAATCTCTTGGACTTTTCTGTCTGGGTTGGCTTTGAATTGAAACCCTCAGATCTTAGCCACATGAGTAGCTAGGATTACAGGTATCAGCTACCAATGCCCAACTTTGTTATGTTTTTCTTTATTGACTAAAAACTCTTTTAAAGCAGCCCTTTCTGAAGTGAGATGCTTCTCATGCAAAGGGATGTGATGTTCTACAAAGGCAGGCAAATGCTTCCTGCTGTGGCCGGCCTCCCTCTGAAGGTTTTTGGGTATGGTACATTACATACTACAAGAAGGCTTAGTGCATACAAACTTCAGTGTTGTACAGCACAGCATTTTACAGTTTGGGACTGTTGAGTATGTGTGTGCATGTCTTTGTGTAAAATTTCACATGATACCATTAGAATTTCTTAGAAACTAGTTCTACAAGCGTACAGTCTACCTGCTGGAGATGCCATAGTGAAAGACTGAGGTTGTGTGTGTGTGTGTATGTGTGTGTGTGTGTGTGTGTAGGTTAGTGCTCTGCACCATATAGCCTTGATGATGGATTATATGTGCAGAGCTTTCCAGAAGGAGCAGGCTTATATTCTGGAAGTGACATCTGCAGGGTGCTCCACCCACAATGCTGACCTCATAGCTCATTCTTGAATGATGCTTGCCCTTCTCACCAACCTGTGTCCTGCAGCCCCTGCCGCTCAGCGAGCCAGTGCACACTCTCCTGCTGGCCATGTGTGAAGATCAGCCGCACAGGCGGCGTCCACTACTGTCAGTTCTGGAAGTCTGTCGGGTCCACCAGGACGAAGTGGCTATGTACCCCGCCCCTGCCAGCCTCCACATCAGAAGGCTGGTGGGCTTGGTGCTCAGTTCTATCTCTGAGGTAGGTACAGGTCTAGACTGAGCAACCTGGTAACCACCTGCCATGTGTGGTTATTGAAACTGAAATTGGTTAAATGATAACAAATATTAAAATAGAATGGCAATCCAGGCACCAGTCGCACATGCCTGTAATCCTAGCTACTCAGGAGGCTGAGATCTGAGGATCAAGGTTCAAAGCTAGCCTACATAGAAAAAAATAATGAGACTCTTATGTCCCATTAACCATCAAAAAGCTTGGAGTAGAGTTTTCCTCAAGGGGTAGAGTTCCAGCCTCGATAGAGAAAGCCAAGTAATACTCTTAGGGGAGAAGCACAAAGGCACAATGCCTATGCTCCTCTGATCATATAAAATAGTATTTTTTTTAAATGAACTCTAGGAAATGAAAACAAGAGGGTTTTTCTTTGTTGTTTTGTTTTGTTTTCTGTCTTATTTGCTCATTTATCTGGAAGGTAGGGTGAGCACAGATAATGGAGGGACAAAGGGTGAACAACTGCAGCCGTGGTCCTCACTAGACACTATGTTGAAAGTGATCTGTTCAAATTGTGGGTGAGTACAGAAGGGAAAAACTTGGAGCGAATGAGGAAGGGTGACACTGTCCAAAAAGAAATGTATTCATTACTTGACCTCTGAAACTCTAACCCATCTGTACATCACCTTTGTAATAACAATAAAAAAAAGAAAAAGAAAAAGACAAGCAAGAGAGTGAGGCTATGAGTTCAAGCTCCAGCATGGTACAAAAAATAGAATAGAATAAAATAAAAAATTCAGGGGGCTGCTATGTAGCTTAGTGGTAGAGTGGTTGCCTAACGTGCAAGGTCCTGAGTTCTGTCCCTAGCAGCACAAACACACACTTCCAACACCACAGTTACACTTGTTACATTTCAAGGGCTCAATTCCTACAGAGAAAGCTGGTGCCTACCCTGCTGGACAGGGAAGATCTAAAATATTCTCATCATTCAAGTTCTTTTGGGTAGTACTGTTGAATTCCCAGGTAAAGCTTGATTTCTAGCATGGCTCAGACTATTAGATCTTTGCAAGTGTTTATATAGAACTGTCACATTTATGACCTGGAATTTAGTTCTATCTTACCTTCTAGACCTTGCTTGATATTTTATCCTCAGGGTCTCTGGCCACCCCCTGCCCTCTGCCTTTGTCTTACCAGTCTGCTTTCTGTCCTTTACATGCCCAGTTCATTGCAGGGGCCTGGCACATGGTCAATATTTGACAAAGGTTGGGTTTCCTTCATCCCTGTGGCTGGGATTCCTGGGCAAGTCATGTATTGGGAAAGTAATCTGGGAGAGGGTAGTGAGGGAAGGAGATCAGACTGGGGATAAGCTGAAAAGTGGCCTTGGGTGAAGATAGCCTCTTCCTAGCCCATAGGAAGCTCTAGAAATTGATTCTTGGTATCTCCCCCACCCTATACCAAGGCATGGCTGGAGAAGGATGGGCAAGCAAGGGGCCTATGGCATTCAATGCAAGGAGATTTTTATTTGAGATGATGAGCTGGGAGGCAGAGACAGAGACCAGCCAGGCAGCTATATCTGTTTAGGGATATGTTGATGAGCCCAGGCCAAGATTAACACAGGCACCATGTGGATGGAGATGAAGGGACAGATGAGTCAACATTGCAAACAGTCCACCAGAAGATGTCCCTCCTAGCTAGGCACTGGTTATTCATGCCTGTAATCCTAGCTTCCTGAATGGAAGCTAAGATCGGAGGATCGTGGTTCAAAGCCAGCCAGGGCAGGAAAGTTCATGAGACTTTTATCTCCAATTAACCACCAGAAAACTGGAAGTGGAGCTGTGGCTCAAAGTGGTAGAGTGCTAGCCTTGAGCAAAAAGAGCTCAGGGACAGTATCTAAGCCCCAAGATCAAGCCAGGACAGAAAGAAAGAAAGAAAGAAAGAGAAAGAAAGACAGACAGACAGAAAGACAGACAGACAGAAAGAAAGAAAGAAAGAAAAAGAAAGAAAGAAAGAAAGAAAGAAAGAAAGAAAGAAAAAAGAAATGTCCTTTCCAGAGCCAGGCATCAATGGTTCACACCTGTAATCCTAGCTGCTGAGGAGGCTGAGATCTGAGGATCACAGTTCAAAGCCAGCGTTGGCAGGAAAGTCTATGAGACTGTTACTTCCAATTAACCACCAAAAAGCTGGAAGTAGAACTGTGACACACATGGTAGAGAATTAGCCTTGAGCAAAAAAATAAAATAAAATCCCAGGGACATCCCAAGGTCCTGAGTTCAAGTCCCAGGATCAGCACCATAAAAAGAAAATAAGAAAAAGAAAAGAAAAGACAGTGTCCCTCCTACCTAATATTCACTGTAGACCTCAGCTGTCTTAGCAGGTGAAATACAACTCTTACCACTTTACCACTTTGAGCCACAGCTCTGCTTACAGTTTTCTGGTAGTTAACTGGAGATAAGAGTCTCATGGACTTTCCTGCTCAGGCTGGCTTTGAGCCATGATCCTCAGATCTCAGCTTCCTGTATAGCTAGGATTACAGGCATGAACAACCAGTACCTAACTAGGAGGGACATCTTCTGGTGGACTGTTTGCAATGTTGACTCATCTGTCCCTTCATCTCCATCCATATGGTGCCTGTGTGGGACAAGGGTATATTTATTTGAAAGACGTCATAGCCTACCATCCAGTGGCACGTCACTGTTCTGGTCAGTGTCTATGGGTTCTGTGTTGACACTTAACATTTCCATTTGTGGTAGAAACAAGACAGGGGACACAGACAGGCAAGGAAGTTTAAGGTAATATATTAAACAGGGACAGATGTGCATGAAGTGGCAGGAAAGGTGACCCCAGGTTTGTGGTGGGAAGGACACAGTGCTGGGTCTTGCTGCACAGCGTGCTGGGAGGCTCCAGCCAGGACAGAAATGCACTAGAATGGCCCTGATGTACCCGACACAGGACTGGAGGAGCGACTTGCTGCTAGAGGGTATGTGGATAGATCCAGAGCATCTTCTAGTCATTGGACAAGGTGACACTGGGCTCTCCCTGGATAGGGTAAACACATTGGTTTAGGCGGACAAGTAGTTTGCTGCTGTCTGCGTAAATACCCCCCTCTGCTGACCTGGGGCAGCAGCTGTGTGATGCCTTTGATCTTCAGGTGGAGAGGAGAGTTGTGGAAGAAAGCACCTGTGAGCCACAGAGCAGAAGCTATCTGCTCAGGAAGAGGCTGCACCAGGCAAGCAGCAAGAGCCCTGCTACCCAGGCCCTGGATGATCTGCATCCTTGCAGAGGTGGGTGAGGTCCTCAGATCCCAGTGTAGGCTACTGGTGCCCAGCATGTGCCAGCCATTTTTGCTCCCATGGCAGAGAAAGGCCATGTAAGCTGCACTCTTCCAGAAAGCCCTGGAGTGAAGGGGCTGAGTATAAGTCCCCTTCCTGTTCCCAGAGAAGTTTTAACCACTGAGCAGAGACAATGGTAGCAAATGTTAACTACATTTCCAATGAAAATCTAACTGGACAAGATTAAGAGTTTGTGGGACTTGATTGCCCAGTCTAGCTCTGAATCTCAATCCTTAGGTCTCAGCTACCCAGGTTAGCTAGGATTACAGGTATAGCTACCAGCATCCAGGAAAAAGTCACTTTCTATATGGATTTACAGAAAAAGTATAACTTCTAAAAAATTTGTTTTTCAACTAAAACTGAGCTTGCTGGATTTTTCCTTATTTTATTTGCTCATTTATTTATAGATGGGGTCTCTTTATGTAACCCAAGCTGGCCCCAAACTTTTAATCCTCCTGTCTCCAACTCCTGAGTACTAGGATTACAGGCACACACCATTTCACTTGGTTTTATGATTTATATATTTATTTCTAATTAAAGTTACTGTTTTTGGTCCTAAAACAAGATATTATTCTATCCTTTGCCATTAGGCCTCTCTCTCTCTCTTTCTTTCTTTCCTTTTTCTCTCCTTCCTTCCTTCCTTTCTTTCTTTCTTTCTTTCTTCCTTCCTTTCTCTCTCTCTCTTTCTTTCTTTCCTTCTTTCTTTTTTTATTGTGAAAAATACCATACAGAGGGGTTACAATTACATGGGCAAGATAATGAGTACATTTCTTATCAAGCATTGTTTCCATCTCCTTTTTTCTTTTTTCTTTTTTTTTTCTTGCCAATCCTGGGACTTGAATTCAGGGTCTAGGCACTGTCCCTGAGATCTTTTTGCTCAAGGCTACCATTCTGCCACTTGAGCCACAATGGCACATCTGCCTTTTTCTGCTTATGTGGTACTGAGGAATCAAACCCAGGGCTTTGCAGATGCTAGGCAAGCCCTCTACCACTAAGCCACATTCCTAGCCCCTCTTATTCCCCTCTTACAGTGCTCATACCTCCCACCTGTGACATTTTTCATGTGAGAATGATTCTCTGAATCTCAGAGAAGTTCCGTCATTTCACCATGGGCATGCAGCTAACGAGTTGTGATGTTATCTACACTCTGGGCTGCCTGATTCCAGAATGCCAGGCCTCCATTTCCATCCATACCTTCCAGTGTGTGTATGATTAGTTTCAGAGAGAAGCATGGAAACTCAGAGCTCCCTGGATCCCCGCTGGAGCAACACAACACAGAGTCGCTGCAGCCTCTTTGTTAACAGGTGAGTCCGGAAGTTAGCAGGTGCTGGGAACTTGGTAGGAGATGTCTCATTTTCTGCTTAAAAAAGTGATTATTGATGAGAAAGAAACCTCTTGCTTCTCAGAAAATCTTCCACTGGGAAATGGAGAAGCCTGGTGTTGAGGGGCGACTGTCATCAGGCACTGTCTCCTCTGGGAACCACATTCCGGCTCAGGGACAGAGCAACAATGTGCTTCAAGCTGTTGTAATCGCTCACTGCCACACAGCACAAAGCCCAGCGGTCAAAGCAAACCTCATTTAGCTGGCACCTTTGCAGGGCATGGAGGTTGTGTTCAGCCTACACTTTCGGAACCTGCTGGGCTCTTAGGAGTTTTTGGCTGCTTTTTTTCTGAGAGGTTGGACTGTGATTGCTCACCTGACAGAGAGAACAAGAGGAAAGGAAAGAGAGAGAGACAGAGATAGAGACAGAGTCAGAGAGACAGTGACAATGATAAAGAGACAGAGAGCGGAGGGAAAAGAGAGAACAATGGAGGAAGGGGGAGAGAGAGAAGAAGGGAAAGAGGGAGGGAGAGAAAAGAAGAGGGAAAGAGAAAAGGGAAGGAAGAAGAGAAGAGGGAGGGAGAGGGAGAGAGAGACAGAGAGAATATAAATTCCAGCACTGCCTTTCCCTGACTTCTGCCTCATTTTATTGGCCAAATCAAGCCTTAAGTCCAGCCCAGATTCAAAGGTTTGGGAAATGGCTCCATCTTTCTGTGAGAGGAGGTTGTAAAGTCACGTTGCAAAGCCATGTTTTCATTAGGTTAACATTGGTACTTCAATTGTATCCCTGGATCCGTCTCTTCCAGGAGCTGGAACTGTGGGGATTGAGGTTGGAGTATGTATTTCTTCGGTGCTTTGGTGAGGATTGTGATGAAGCTTATTTTTACATGGCTAAGCCAATGGCTTTGGCCACACTTGTCATATCCATAGGTGCAATTTGACTAGTGGTCACAATATTTACCTTGTGATTTTTCTTGCCATTTGAAACTAATTTTTTTTGCCAATGAAAACAGCTTCCCTCTGATACCATAAATCATACAGAGTCATCCATCTCTTAGTAGCAGGGCAGATTCTGAGAAATGTGTTGTTAGGCAATATCATTGTGTGAACATCATAACACATTATTACACAAAACTGTACAGCATAGCCTCCTATATACCTAGGGTCTGTGTGTGTGTGTGTGTGTGTGTGTGTGTGTGTGTGTGCGTGCGTGTGCAGGTATGTGTGCCTAGGTGCACAATGTCTGTGTACCTGCATGTATATTCGTGCATATGTGCTCATTTGTGTGTGTGTACATGCACACGCGTGTGTGAGCATGCTTGTGTGTACTATAGTAGCTCAGTACTCAGAGCCATGATGGTAAAATAACACAAAATTGGCACCAGAGAAAGCACCACAATCAAGAGACAAAGGAAAGAGATCCATGAGGGTGCTGGGGGAAAAACATGGCCAACTGTTTGCAAGAGAGAGAAAGAGAGAGAGGGGGGAGAGAGAGAGAGAGAGAGAGAGAGAGAGAGAGAGAGAGAGAGAGAGAGAGTTTGCTGGTCCTAGAGCTTGAATTCAGGGCTTAACATTTTTACTTATGACTAGAACTCTATGCCATGTACTGGTGGCTCACACCTGTAACCCTAGCCACTCAAGAGACTGAGATCTGAGGATTACAGGTGGAAGCCAGCCCAGGTAGGAGAGACCAAGAGATAATTATCTCCAAGTAATCATCAAAAAGCCAGAAGTGGAACTGTGGCTGATGCAATAGAGTGCTAACCTTGAGAAAACAAAACAAAACAAAACAACCCTCCCCACAAACCCAACTTAGTGCCCAAGACTTGAGTTCAAGACACAGGACAGGCACAAAAAAAGAAAATTTAAAACAAAAAAAGACTAATACTAAACCACATAAGATTGGAGAGATGAATCTCACAGACTTTCCTGCCTCAGCTGGCTTTGAACCATCATCCTCCGATCTCAGCCTCTTGAGTGGCTAGGATTTCAGGTCTGAGCCATTGGTGCCAAGACTAGAATACTTTTTTAACCAAAAAATATCTCAAGGTTTTTGCTCAAGGAGTATACTTTGAAGTAATGATAAAGTACATAGTAGCGAACGCTTAGGTGAGTGAGAGTCATTTGTTACCATTATCCATTATGCTGATGGTATTGCTGAGCTGAATAGGATGGCAAGGTAGGTTCCTTATACCAGTTCCTTATACCAGCCACTGTAACCACATGATGTGTTGTGTTAGCATGTAACAGTGGAATCCACTCAGTTGTGACATCATGGTACTGTGGTGCATCTACTATGTGCTGCCATTATGTGGTGCATGACTGATCTTTATGGTCAAAACATTTTAAACATATAAACATGAAGGAAGGAAGTCAGATCATGGGATCTCATGGCTACCTCAGGGGTTACTGGGGACCTGGGATCACATACCCCCAGCATAGAGGGAGGAGTCTTGGGGTGAAGAAATACAGCAAACCATGGTCTTGCACCTCAAACCTCACCCAGCTCCATGGCTCTGCAAACTTGACTTGTGCAAGCGTCAGTTTCCCCATCTGAACACTGGCTGTGGGAAGTCCTCATGGGGTGGGGGGCTAGAGTCATGAAGCACAGGTGCACCTGCCCAGATGTCCGGTGTCCGAGCATCATCAACAGCTTCATGACATCTCCCTCCCTGGCCAGCAGTGTTGAAGGTGCTGTTCCCCATGACGTTCAGGAAGACAGGAGGCTCAGTTCCGGGTCTGTGCCCTTGGCAGGAGCAGAAAGATCACGGCCAACAACTCCTTCTCCAAGAAGTTTCCTGCAAAGAAAAGGAAAGGTGAGCAAAAAGTCGGCTGAGAGATAGTCTTCATAGGGGTGGTGACACAGAGCCTCAGTGGGCCAGGGCGGCAGTAGACTCTGTGTTATGAATAGGTTGAAGAGACCAAGGCCCACCTCTCAGAAGTTCACAGCCAATGTTGTGAAGGACAGAAGCAAGAGGGGGCATGTGCTCAGGGAGCTGTCCAGGGCCCATGCACTTGCCAGGGGACTTCTGGGAGCCAGGACTCCTCATAGAGAGGCTACAAGGAGGGTCAGCTGGTCAAGTTTGTGCTGGCTGATTGGATGATGGTTGGGCCCAGGACAATCCTCTGGCCAGAAGGTCTTCTGCCAACAGCCGTGAAGACAGTCATAGCAATTTTGGTGGGGTTTTTGTTTGTTTCATTCATTCATTTTTTTTTATTTTTTATTTTTTGGTCCGGTTGTGGGGCCTGAACTCTGGGCCTGGGCGCTGTCCCTCAGCTCTTCAGCTCAAGGCTAGTGCTCTACCACTTGAGCCACAGCACCACTTCCGGCTTTTTTCTTTTTGCTTATGTGGTGCTGAGGAATCGAACCCAGGGCCTCAGGCATGCAAGGCAAGTGCTCTACCACTGAGCCAACTTCCCAGCCCCTCATTCATTCATTTTTGTACCAGCTTGAATTCAGGACTTTGAACTCTCACTTGCCTTTTTTTTTTTTTTGGCTCAAGGCCGGTTCTCTTATCACTTGAGCCACACCTCCACTGCTGGCTTTTGGCTGGTTATTTGGAGATGAAATTCTCACAGACTTTTTCTGTCCAGGTTGGCTTCAAACCACAATCGTTGGATCTTAGCCTCTCTAAGTAATTAGGATTACAGGCATGAGCCACCAGCTCCCAGCTCACTTTGGTGTTTAGAATAAAGCAGTCCTACTTCAAGACACAAGACACAAGATGCTGCCACGGTGGTCCTGAGGGGACCAGTGTCGGGAGCTGCTATAAGCTGCAGGTAGGGTGACAGGTTGTTCATGGAGAAGCTGTGGCCCTGACCTTGTGTCTTATCATTGGGACCCTTTGGGACCATCAAATCCAGATAGACTCAGAAAGTCTTTGTCACAGGGAAATTAAAGACTAATAACAAATTAGAGCTGAGCTCTAAATGGCCTCTGGGCATCCCTCCTTTTGTGTGGTCTTGCTTCCTTCCACATGCTACACCTCTACCCCCCCATGCTGTCTTCCAAGGCCTTCAAGAAGGGGATCCTGAGAACCTTAATGGGGCAGCCCTACCCCCAGCAAGTTCACAACATCTGGTGTTCACCACATGCTGCCTTAGGAGCTTTATTTCCTGATCACCACTAAGGATGTATCCCCTGGACTCTCTCAGGACACAGCCCACCTCCAGTTGTGGTCTCCTGAGACCAAGGTCCTGCTGGGTGTCCTTGGGGGCACATTATATATAACCCCTAATCTGCAATTTGCTGGCTGTGTGAATAGTAAGCTTTTAGCCTCTTGGAGCCTCCACTTTCTCACCTGTAAAATGGGTTGAGGACAGGCAGCCAGGACATGCTGGCTGGCTCTAAGTAACACCATGACTAAAACATTCCTTGGGTAGTCAGTGATACAAATGAGGAGTTTTGTAAAAACCAAGAATGAGAGTTGATGGTGAACATTCTTGATTCTACTGCCAGAGCTGGAAAACCTTTTCCCTAAGCTAAAACCTGAAATGTTTTATTTTTACAAGTTCTTTTTGTTGAACATAGTGTGTGTGTGTGTGTGTGTGTGTGTGTGTGTGTGTGTGTGTGAACTCAGGGCCTGGGTGCTGTTCCTGAACTTTGTAACTCAAGACTGGCACTCTACCACTTGAGTCATTGCTCCACTTCTGGCTTTTTATCAGATCTCAGCCTCCTAAGTAGCTCAGATTATGGAATGAGCCACCTGCTCCTGGCTAGAATGTGTTTTATAGTTTTGAGACATCCAAAGGATTATGAAATGCTGTGTGAATTGTGAACTCTTAATAATGATGTCCCCGTGCTTACTTAAGGGCCAAGATGTGTCAATCTCCTTCATCCACTCATAGTAGCTTTGAGGCCAGCAGAGCTGGTTGGGGGTGGGGGGGAGGAACTTCTCCCCACATTAGCTGCATCTTGCTGAAACCTGTTTTCTTTGGAGTCTGGTGAATAAAGACCTGGGGGAAACTGGGGGAGATGAGCTCCTAGAGGAAGCCCAGACCCTGTTTCTCCCCTGTAAGAAGTCTGAATATTTTCTCCAGTTTTCTAGGCCGGAGTTTGTCCTGATGGCTGGAGAGGCCCCAGTGACCCTACATCTGCCTGGAACTGTTGTGGTAACCATGGGGCGGGGCTGGGTGGTAAGGGAGGGAGTCACCTAGACAGGCAAGTCTGGTCTAATGATGTTCTATGTGGAGATGTTCCCATGGACCCTAGCCCCCTCTAGGCTCTGACCAGAGCAGTGACCATTTCTATTCCTGCCCCACTCCTTCACTATCTCCTTTGCCCCTTTGAAAGAAACTCTCTATAGCTTCTGGCTCCATCTTGCTGGTCTGTCCACCATCAGTCACTTCAGCCTTTCTCTCATTATTCTGGATGCTTGTGAAGTATCTCCCTCATGATGGGCTTGATTTTAGACGCCAATCTATGCTGTGAATGTCAGGAGTCTAGGGCCACATACTGCCTCCCAGCATGGTGGCCAGGCTCAGTCCAACACTTTCATTTATTTTATTTTATTTTTTTGTGCCATACCTAGGGCTTGAACTCTTGGCCTGGACACCACCCCCTAAGCTTTTTTTGCTAAGGCTAATACTCTACCATTTGAGCTATGGCTCTACTTCTGGCATTTTGGTAGTTAATGGGAGATGAGAGTCGCAGAGACTTTTCTGCCTGGGCTGGCTTCCAACTTTGATTCTCAGATCTCAGCCTCCTGAGAAGCTAGGATTATAGATATGAGTCACTAGTACCCGGCTAGTCCAATGGTTTAGGCAAAAAGACTCAGCTAGCAGAAGGCAATTGTAGAGGAGGCATTTATTGTAGGAATTAGCTAAATAGAGCTAGTCTCTGTTGGGGTGCATGTGGTTCTATGTGTTCATGTGTGTACCTCCTTTGCCTGGCTGTCCATCTGTCTATGTGTGTATCTTTTCTCTTTCCCAGGGGTCCAATTAGTGCCAAGTACTGTGGTATGTCAGCTGGCATTTGCATAACCTTTTGGCTATAACCTTTAGGATGTATATGCTTGAACGAGGATGGAAGCTGGCAGAGTGAGGAGGAGGGAGAGGACTACTCTTACACAGGAAGTAGCTCTGAGGAAGCAGCAGTGAGCGGAGACAGAGAGAGAGGGAGGAAACGAGAGAAGGAGGGAAGGAAGTAGGCTTTAGGGTAGAGCAGATCTGGCCAGAGAGCAGGGAGGCTACAGAATGCCCTTCCCAGGTTAGCAGGCCCTGCCTGAGGCATGCCCCTGCAGAGATCTGTCTCATTGGCTTTTGTGCTAGTGTCCTCCAGAGCTTCTTTTAGGGCCCATATTCCCTGCTATTCAGTGCTCAGCCTGGGGACAGGTGATTATCAGCCAATATTGAGTATCTGGGTGGCAGGGAGAGGGGATTTCTTTCCTATCTCACTCACTCTAAGAGCTGAAGTGCCTATCTAGTCAAGTTCACATGTCCATGCTGCTACACGGCTCTCTGGCCATGTTCAGGCCTGTGGAAGCAGCACTGGCTTGGTGTTCCTCTTCTTTGGGCTTCCTGCACTGTCCCCATGCTGGTCTTTCAATAGCTCAGAGCAATTCAGAAAAGAATCAGGAAGCCTTGCCTCTCTGCACCAGTCTGGGTTAGTCGAATGCTGCTAATAAAAAAATCTCCTTGAATCCTAGCTTGATCCTTGCCCTGTCAAGGAAACATACATTGTGGTTCCCTGACATTGTGCCCCCAGCATCTGAGCTTAGTTCAGACAAACTGGACCTGTGGGCTAGATTCCCTAGCTCTGAGTCTCTCCTAATGGAGTCTGGCCATATGTGGGACACAAGCATGAAATGACATATACATTGTACACATATGTATGTATACATGCATACATACATATACACATATATACACAGATATTTGATGAATGTATTCTCATTTATATTCACATATATGTATATATATAAATATATAGAGAGAGAGAGAAAAAGAGAGAGAATTAGGACAGGTAGCAATTTAATGAAAAGAAGGGACTTGAACAGATCTGAGAAATCAGTCAGCAGAGCCACAGATGTATGCTGAGTCTGCCTTCTTCCCCATCAGCTGCCTTGGACCATTACTGGCTCCTCCTTCCACCACAGCCCTGCCCCGACCGCTTCAACCTTAGTGCAGCCTCCCATCCCCAAACTTCAGCTCTTCATAGGACTTGAGATAAATACATGCACATATATGTTCTATATAATACGTAATATTTGTAGCAATTTTATTATAAAATATAATTTTAATATATAAATATAGAATACAATGTGTAATATATACCATGTGTAATGTATATATTATATAGAATATATCAAATCTACATTCTCTATTTAGAGTATATGTAGAATATATAGAGAATATGTAGAGAACACAGATTTTCAAATATTCTATATATCCTATTCTTAGATTCTATATAGTCTAGTCTGTAATATATATTAGATATTATAACATATCTGATATATGTGTGTGATGTGTATATGTGTATGTATATATATGTATAATAATATATTATGTATATGAATGCATTTATTATATATTATATACATGTATATATTATGTATATGTATTATATATTATATATGTGTGTGTATGTATGATCTAGAAATTTAACCTCTGGTCACATATATGCTAATCCCCATGCTTAGCCACAGCCCCAAGTATGGTGGCTTTTATTTATTATTTGTTATTTTATGTTCCATTCCTATGGGCCCCTGAGTTCTCATTCAATGGCTCAAGTTCCCCTCCCACCAACTGCTAGATCCCTTGAAAGGGCTCACAATCTCTGTATGGACATGCACTAAGTGCCTGGATTGAGTTGATCAGGAAGAAACTCGGAAAGAACTTCTGGTGCTACTAGCCCAGGTGGAGAAGATGCTGCTAGACCCAGTGTGAAGTATTTTGGGGCACATGTGCTTGCCTGAGTCCCTTTCTGTGCAATCCCCAGCAGAGGGGCATATAGGGCCAATATGAGCAATGGCAGCCCTGGGCAGCTGAAGTGGTAAATGGGATCAGGAGGGGGAGGGGAGGCTGAGACAGGTGTGAAGGTCCAGGTAACCCAGAGGTTGGTGGGGAGATAGAACCAGGGGGTGCTGCGGTACCATGTGCAAACCCTAGTGCAATCACAATCTGTGGTGCTTAAGAATGTCAGAGCCTTGTCTGGTGCTGGTGGCTCATACCTGTAACCCATGGTACTTGAGAAGCTGAGACCTGAGGATCACAGTTCAAAGCCAGCCTGGGCAGGAAAATCCAGGAGATTCTTATTTCCAGTTAACCATCAAAAAAGCTGGAAGTGGAGCTGTGACTTAAGTGGTAGAGTGATAGATTTGAACAAAACAAAACAAAAACCAAACCAAAACAAAACAAAACAAAAACCCCAGAGACAGCGCCCTTAGTTCAAGCCCCAGGACAGGCACCAAAAAACAACAAAAAAGAATTCAGAGCCTCAGAGCCTGGTACTAATGGCTTACATCTGTGATCCTACCTACTCAAGAGGCTGACATCTGAAGGTCACAGTTTAAAGCCAACACTGGGTAGGAAAGCCCATGAGATTTCTCATCAAAAAGAAAGAAAAAGAAAGAAAAGCTACAAGTAGAGGTGTGGCTCATGGCAGAACACCAATATTGAGCCAAAAGGCTAAGCGATCACCATCCCGTAGCAGTTAGCAAGCCCCTTTATCCACAGCTCTACTTCCAGCTTTTGGGTGGTTTATTGGAGCTAAGAGTCTCATGGACTTTCCTGCCCAGGCTAACTTTGAACCATGATCCTCAGATCCCAGCTTCCTGAGTTGCTAGGACTACAGATGTGAGCCATTGGTGCCCGGCTAGATATCAATGTCAACCCATATCTGTCCTCTAAGGAAGGACTCCCAAGAGAGAAGCGGCCAGATCCTGTACTGAGCTTTGGGATGGATACTGGGGTGGGTATTCAGCAAATGTCCTTAGGGGAGGAGTCTGTTTTGGACACGGAAGACTCATGGAAAGCTGCAGTCTGAGGATGAAGAGGAGGTTTACTGGGGTCAAGATGGTGGTGGGTACAAGGCTGCTGTAGGGTATGGACCTGGTATTAATCTGAGGATGTTGTAACAGAAAGCAGACATCATACATCTGTGGTTCTGATGACTGATTTCCCAGATCCCCTTATTCTAGTCCCTTCTCTTCTTTGGATGGATTCCTGCCTCAATGCTCTCAGTTTAGAATTCAAGGAACCTACACTCTGTATGGTTTTGTGAGCTGAGGACTAGCATCAGGTTGGCTGAAGACCACAGGAGCATCTGATTCATTGATGAATCTGGAAGGCAGGCAGAGCACAAGCAACATCCAGGATGTCTGCAAGGGAAAAGGTGCAGGTCAGACCTGTGCCCTTCTCCAGCCTCCCTGTCCCCCAAGAGCTTGGCAGCACTCAGATTTGAATCCAGGTTCTGCCTCTTAGTAGCTGTGCAACCCTGGACAAGCCTTTAACTCTGTGAGCCTCAGTTTTTCATCTGCTAACTAGAAATCGAACACATTCATCTCTTAGGGTTGTTTGATGGTTAAGGGAGATAATATGGTCTAAAGTGCTTAGCACAGTCACTAGCCCAAGTCTCATAGTTACTCTAACAACTTACGCCATCACTGTTGTTTTTAGACCAAAAAAGGGAAATCCTATTTGGCTCTCAGTGACCTCTGTGTGGTCCTGCTGAGTGGGCAGTGTCTGGAAGTGAAGTGTGACGTCAGGTCCACGGTGGGAGCTGTCTTCAATGCTGTCATGTCCTTCACTAATCTCAGAGAGACCACCTACTTTTGTCTGGCTTATGTGAAAGGTGAGTATCTGCTAGGAACACTGCTGGCCTTCTTGAAGCCTCTAGGAACCAGATATGTGGTTAGCTGAGCTCCATTTTCCCTAGGAAAGTTAAGACAAGGATATCGTTCTCTCTATACTTTACCATCAGTTAACATAGTGGTGAGGACTTCAGATGCTTGTGTAAAAAGTGTCAAGTGGCCTGGCACTGGTGGCTCACGCCTGGAATCCCAGCTACTCAGAGGCTGTGATCTGAGGATTGTGCTTCAAAGCCAGCCTGGGCAGGAAAGTCCATGAGACTCTTAATCACAGAAAAAAACAAAACAAAACAGAAGTGGCACTGTGGCATTGTGGCACAAGAGCGCTAGTCTTGAGCAAAAGTTGCTCAGGGACTGCACCCAGGCCCAGGGTTCAAGACCCAGGACCAGAAAAAAAAAAGTTTCAAGTGTTCACAGATTGTCAGGAAAATAGTGAGTGTCAGATGTTGAGGAGGGAGGGGCTGTGATCTGCCAGATTGCTTTGATCAATAGTTAGACTGAAGAGGTTAAAGATGAGTTGATACAGAAGGCCTGGTACATGGTGGAGACTTCATAGGCCTTTGTCATTTATTACCTTTTATTTTTATTTTTTATATCTATCTATCTGTCTGTCTGGAGTCTGTCTGTCTATCTACTTTGCTGGTATTAGGGCTTAAGTTCAGGGTCTGGGTGCTGACCTTTATCTTTTTCTCTCAAGACTGGTGCTCTACCACTTGAACCACAACTCTATTTCTGGCTTTTTGGTGATTAATTGGAGATAGGAATCTCACAAACTTTCCTGCCTGGTCTGGCTTTGAACCAGGATCCTCAGAACTCAGCCTCCTGAGTAGCTAGGATTACAGGTGTGAACCATCAGCACCTAGAAATCATTTTGCTACTTTATCTCCATAAGATGACAGCTGAGAAGCCGATGTTAAATGACAGGTACTGAGGGGACTCTCCTGTTTTCTCTGGCACCAACATTGCCCATCTGAGCGTTGGGGTTAGGACTCGGGGCTGTGAGCCTGAGGGGTGGAATGCTGCCTTTTACTTCCCCCTCCATGCTCTCTCTACTTCCATCTCAGGCAAAGAGTTCTTTTTCCTGGACAATGAAACCAAACTGTGCAAAATTGCCCCTGAAGGCTGGAGTGAGCAGCCACTGAAGACCTCGCTGGACACCTTCACACTCTTCCTGCGGATAAAGTTCTTTGTCAGCCATTGTGGGCTGCTCCAGTGAGTGCTGCCACCTGTCCCCAGGCTCCCTGGGGAATTTAAGCCTGTCCTGGGTGACATTACACAGAGTGGTTAGGCAAGTGCTTTGGGAATGGTAAATTCCACATAAATGGCAGTGGTTTCTGTCCATGGGTTTTTGATATAAAGGAACTCTGAGAGAAAAAAATCAGTTTTCTTTTTCTTTTTCCTTGAGACAAGCTCAGGTCGGAAAAAGAACTTGCCCTTGTATTTCAAACAGAGGCCACTCCAGGTCAAAGCTCACTCATCCTTAACCTCAACCTGTACCCCCTTCTCCCTCTACCCACAGTCTAGCAGCCCAGGGATGAAGGTTGGAAGAGGAAACAATGGATTTGGAGTTGATGCACTATCTCTTTGCTCCTTTGCTTACCAGACTACTACCTAACTGATTATAGATTTCTCACTTGATCTGTGCAATAAACATTTCTGTGGGAGTTTGGGAAATTCCTAAAGGCAGGGGCATGGGGAGGAGGAGGGAGTACACAGGTCTACCTGGCCTGGTGCTCTGGTTCTTGGGTGATAGTCTGTCTCCTCTCCTTCCCCCATTTCCTGCCCAGGCTGAGAAGCCCCTGGTTTAGGTTCTCCTGGCCTCTCAGCTCTCTTGTTTGTGTTCATTTACCAGGCACAGCCTGACAAGGCATCAGTTTTATCTGCAGCTTCGGAAAGACATCCTGGAAGAGAGGCTGCATTGCAACGATGAGATGCTACTGCAGCTGGGAGCTCTCGCCTTGCAAGCTGAGTTTGGCAACTATCCTAAGGAGGTAGGGGTGGATACCTGGGGCCTTTGGGTGGAGACAAAAGAGAAATTATTATGGGATTGGAAAGATAGTAATATGGAGACTCTACCTTGGAGAAGTGTTGTCATCATGTACTACTGAGATTGAGGTAAAGTCTATCCATTTACCCATCCATCTATCTTTATGACAGTCTTTCCATCTATTCATTCATCCATCCATCCACTCTTCCATCCAACTATGCATCTGTCCACCCAATAAGCATTCATTGACTGTTCTTTCTTAGGTTCTGGGGAGGGGTGGTAACACAGATGAACAAATCAAATTTATACATGGCAGTATAGTTCTAGTCTAATAGATCCTTCTTGTACTTTTCAGATTTGATACTATGATGGAATACGGGAGACAGTGAACTTATGGAGAGAAAAGACTAATTTAGCTCACTGTTTTGGAAATTCAAAGTCCAAGATTGGGCTTCCTGGTTGATTTGGTCTTGGTGAGGGTGATGCATAGTGACACATCATGGTAGGATTGTGTATGGAAGAGCTTACAATGCCCATTGGGAAGTCAGAGAGAGATTGAGATTCCAGGATGCCTTCCAAGGCCATGCCCCAATGACCTAAGACCCTCCCAATGGGTCCTTCCTCCCAAAGGTCCCATCACCTTTCCATAGCCCTACTCTGAAGACCAGACCTTTAATCACAATGGGCCCTGCAAGACATGCAGACCACACCCAACCAAAGCACTCCAAAAAGCAATAATTTACTTATTCATTGAGTTCCCATCATCATCAATAACTAACCTTTATTAAGAAATAATTCTGGCCTGGCACTGGTGGCTTATGCCTATAATTCTAGCTACTCAGGTGGCTGAGATCTGAGGATCATGGTTCAAAGTCAGCCTAGGCAGGGAAGTCCATGAGACTCTTATCTCCAAAGAACCACCAGAAAACCAGAAGTGGAGCTGTGGCTCAGAGTGGTAGAGTGCTAGTCTTGTGCAAAAATTGCTCAGGGACAGAGCCCAGGCCCTGAGGTCAAGCCCCACAACTGACAAAAAAGAAGAAAGAAAAAAAGAAAAGAAATAATTCTGTTCCTGCCATTGACACACATTTTCTACCATGTTAACCATCCCTAACTCATAACATTACAAAACTGATACATTCTCTAGAAAAACAATCTGTTGTTGCTCAAAGTGGCTCAAAGCAATTCCTCTCAAACATGGCTGAAATCTTGTTGGCCATGCCCTTGTTGCAGCAACACAACCATATGTAAGTCTCTTTAATTGAACTTGCCTCCAATGACAGAGTCCTCAGTGAGTTGACAGAGGGCTATTTAATTTGCAGATGACTCAAACTAGGAAGGAACAATGCTGAGACATTTGTTTGTCTAAGTTGGAATTAAAAATGGAGATGCCCTCTCTCTCTGCTTGCTGGCTGCCATAAGACAGGCAGTCACATACAGCCCATGTTTGTCATGGTATTTTGCCTCCCTCAGGCCCCAAGCAATGGATCCAGCTGACCATGGATGAAACCTCTGAAACTGTTAGCCCAAACCAATTCCTTTTTTGCCTCTTGAAGTTGATTTTCTCACGTATTGTGTCATGGCAATGGAAAGCTGACTGACCCATGGTCTGGTACTTGGTGCCAGTGACGTCAGAAAGACTTGGGCTTCCTGTGTCTGAGCTTTCTCCTCCCCAGTTCTGTCCTCTAAATGGATAATGAATGGAGGCCTGGCTTCTGCCTTGTGTGACCCTATGATAAGCCACTGGCAGGCAAGCCAGAAACTTGCTTGGCAGGAACTAGAAATACCACTGTCATTCCCATCCCTACTCCTCTCGGCCTATGGTGGTCCATGGGGACTGACTTTGCTTTCTGCCTCTTGTACCACTTTGCCTCAGAGGGAACTCTTCCAGATCTGGCCTGGTTCCTTTCATCTCTAACCTGCTCCCTCAAGCTTTTTTCTTATGATAAGGTCTAGCAATGTAGCACAGACTGTCCTTGAACTTATGATCTTCCTGCCTCTTTCTCCTATGTACTGAGATTATAGGTGTGCACCATCTTGCCTGGCCTTTTTTTTCTGCTCCTTTGACAAACTTTTGGCCTTGTTCCTACCTATGCCAGAGTTTCTTCCCGTCCTTCACCTTAGGACTGGACTACTGCCTTGTGGTATCACCTCCCTTGTGTCTTTCCATTGCTATATTTTGGGGCCTTAGAAAGAGGGTGCTCTTAGCAAGGGGTGCCCGTATAAATCTTCAAGGGGTGCCTCTAGATCATTCATGTGTGATTAACATGGGTAAGGAAGGTGTCTGCCTGCCTATCTATCTTCATCACTTTTATCATCTATCTTGTCTACCTGTCTACCTACCAACCTACCTACCTACCTACCTACCTACCTACCTATATACATACATACTTACATATATATACAATATACACATACATAAACACTACTCATCATCTAGAGATTTAGTATAAGTAACTGACTCCTGTTTATGGAAGCTAAGAAATCTCCCAATCTGCAGTTAACAAGATGGAGACCCAGGAGAGCAGATGGTATGTTTTTAATCTGAGTCCAAGGTCAGAAGGCCTGTGTTCTAGTTTAAAGATGGCCAGGCAGAGAGAGATTCCTTCCTCTTTACTGGATGTTTGAACATTTGCTTTATTTACTCCTTTAATAGATTTCTTGGAGCCCCACTCTGGTTTGCTTATATTTCCTCCCAAGTTCAGGTGGAAACTAAGTCCCATTGTGGTCCTATTATGAGGTGGAGCTTGTAAATGAGTAATTAAGTCATGAGGACTTTTCCCATTTGAATGGGTTAGAACCTTATACATTGGGGCTGGATGGAGTGAGAATCTTCCCTCTGTGAGGACTGAGCTGGAAGGCACCCAGGGCTGCTGCCTGAATCTTTGATTTCTCAGCTTCCAGAATTGTGACAAATACTCTTCTGATTTTTAATTACACAATTTGGGGTATTTTGTTATGACAGCCCCAATGAACTAAGTTATTAGATAGGGCAATAAGGCAATCTACTTTATTCATACTACTAATCAACACGTTAATCTTTTCCAAAACATATTTTTTTCCCTAACAAATATACCCAGAATGTTTGGCCATTTGAACACCCTGTGGCCAAGTTACATTGACATAAAATTAACATTCACAGTACCCTGTCCTAGGGACTTGTCTGTTTGATTTCTGAATTTCTGACTGATCTCACCTGTTTCTGATTTTCTCTGATTTTGTTTTTTTTTGCTGGTCGTGAGGCTTGAACTCAGGGCCTGGGTACTATCCCTGAGTTTTTCTGCTCAAGGCTAGAACTTTATCACATGAGTCAAAGCATCACTTCTGGCATTTTGGCAGGTAAGAGATTTATGGTCTTTTCTGCCTGGGCTGACTCTGAATCACAATCCTCTGATCTCAGCCTCCTGAATAGCTAGAATTACAGGTATAAGCCACCTATGCCTGGCTTGTTTTCCTCTGCACTTTTCCTCCACTTGTCTCCCCTCTCCCTAATCTTGCCAATACTAACTCTGCTCACACTCTTAGTGTCCAGAGCATTTTTGAGGTGCTTTCTACTGTACCCCAAAGTCAGACCTTTTCTCTTATGTATGAAGGCCATAGGTTACACAAATCCACCCATTATGCGTCCTCCAATGGACCTGTTTCATCTTGGCACTATTGGTCTCTATCTTAACTGAGAAGTTGTTATGAACCTATTGGTAGTTGAGAAAATTGTGACTCTGATTGCTTGAATATATTCCTAGCAATGAAATGCTGGTCAAAGAGTCTAAAAGGTATTTAACAAATGTTTTTAATAAGCTGTGTGTGTGTGTGTGCGCGCGCGCTATTACTGGGCTTGAACTCAGGGTCTGGGCACTGTCCCTGAGCTTTTTTGCTTACTATTAGTACTCTACCAATTGGGCTACACCTCCCCTTTCAGCTTTTTGCTGGTTTATTGGTGATAAGAGTCACAAAATTTCTTGCCTGAGCTGGCTTCAAACTGAGTTCCTCAGATCTCAGCCTCCTGAGTAGCTAGGATTACAGAATGAGTCACAGGTACCTGACCATAAGCTCCATTTAAAAGAGCAGCTTTAGAGCAAGAATAGGTAGAAGATGCAGAGGTTTCCTGTACTACTCCCTCCCACCCCCCTCCCACAGTCAGAGCCTCTTCCTGGAACTTCTAGGGACATCCTGATCCATCTGTGACAACAGATGAAGTCTACACTGACACAGGAGTGTCAGCCAACACCCAAAGTATACCTACCTGCTTCTCTATGTGTCAGCCACTGTAGTGGGTGCCTCAAATGGCGGTAGGGATATATGTTAGCTTTCCATTCCTGTGACAAAATACCTATGAAAATCTACTTCAAGGAGGAAGGATTTATTTTATTCATGTTTTCAGAGGTGTCACTCTATAGTTGCTTGGCCCTGTCACTTTGGGTCTGTGGTAGAACAACAACATGGCAGTAGTACACACTAGAGGAGGTGGTTACCGTGTGGCACCTGGAAAACAGAGAGAAAGAAAAATAGAGAGCGAGGAGAGAGAGGAGAAGAAGAGAGAGGAGGAAGAGAAAGGGGGAGGAAGAGGAAGAAGAGAAAGGAGGAGGAGAAGAGGGGGAGGAAGAGGTGAGTTCCAATTATCTTTACGAGAATGTCCCAATGACCTAACTTACTCCCACATGGCTCTACTCTTAACAGTTCTACCACTTCCTAATAGAGCTATGGGCTGTTGCCCAGCCTTGAACACATGGCCACTGGGAGACATTTAAGATCCCATCCATATCAGGAAGGTCTCAAAGGGGAGAGGCCTTCTGTGGGCTGAGAGACCCAGGGAGGTGAGGTATTTCACTGTGCCCTCAGTCCAGGTGGTCATCATATCTGAGAGGACGTATTGTGCTCCGGTCAGGGCTTTTATTTTGTGTGATAAGTGGTTCTGGTGCTGGAGGCAGGGGAAGATGTGAAAATCACTGTTGTGAAAGATTGGGAGCCCCTGTGGAATTTTAAGCAGGGATGTAACATGATTGCATTTGCATTTTAAAAAGGGAGACAAAGACAATTTAGTACCAAAATAAATCTCTGTAATCACATCATCGTAGCAGAACCACATTCCTCAGGGCACATTCTCTTCAAGCCTGATCACATTCAGGGGTTTTTTTCTCCTATAGTTGTAGACATTGCCACACTCCATTTGTGTCCTGCTTTTTCATTTCATGGTCTGCGGCCTCCCACTGCCTTCCTGATAGTTGTGTGGAGCAGCAGATGTGGTGACTCCACAGGGCTGGGTCTTCCTTCATTTTTCAGTTCTTTAGGCATTCACCTGACTGTGCCATGCAAGTTGATAATTAACTATAATTATCCCCTGAGCTGCTTTTGATTTTTTTTTTGTAAATGGCATAGAAATAAAGGACTTGTGCCTGGAGTGTTCTAGGTCTATATTGGCTACTTCCTTTAAATATCTTCCTAGCAAGAGATTCTGGGTTAAAGATCATAAATGTCTTTTTTTGTTTCTCATGAAGTTTTTTTTAAATGATTTTTTTTTTCTTTTGGTCATGGGGTTTGAACTGTAGGCCCAGGCGCTGCCCCTGAGCTCTTCAACTCCAGGCTAGTGCTCTACCACTTGAGCCACAGCGCCACTTCTGGCCTTTTCTGTTTATGTGGTACTGAGGAACCCAGGGCCTCATGCATGCGAGGCAAGCACTCTACTGCTGAGCCACCTTCCCAGCCCCTCTCCAATGTAGTTTTAATAGACATTAGTTTTTAGAATATGTGTGAGTCAGCTTTCTACCACGGTGACAAAATATCTGTGGTAGCCAAAGGAGGACAAATTTTAGTTCATGAATTTAGAGATTTCAGAACAGGGTTTCTTGACCCCATTGCTTTAGGCCTGTGAGAAGATAGGTTATCATGGTGGAAGCATGTGGTGACCACAAAGACTGGAAAGCCAAAAAGAGAAATATAGGAAGGATTGTGGTTCCAATATCCTCTTGGGCCACACCCCCAATGGCCTAACTTCCTTCCTCTAAGTTTTACCTTCTTAAGGTCCTATCACTTCTGAACAGAGCCAAGGGCTGATGAGCAAGTCTTTAACATATGGGCCTTGACAAACCAAGTTTAAGTTCACAGAAAAATTGAGTAGAAATTGAGTAGATCTCCCATTGTAACCCCAGCCCCTACACATACACAGCCTCTACCCTAAACAATATAAACACCTTCAGTGTACATCTACACATCCATCATCCAGAGTCCATAGTTGGTGCTGGTATGCAATCTTGGTGTTGTACATACATTATGAATTTTGACAAAGGTATAAGGTCATATATCTACTATTGTAGTATCATGCAGTATAGTTTCATTGTCCTAAAAACCCTCTGTATACCACCTACCCATCACTCTTCCCCATAACCACTGGCAGTCACTGACCTCTTCACCGTCTCCCTAGCAGAATGTCACATCATTGGAGCCATACATTATGGAGCATTTCTACACAACCTTCTCTATTTAGTGCTATACTTATAAAGTTCATTGGGTTTTTCCCCCCTGTGCCAGTCCTGGGGCTTGAACTCAGAGTCTGGGTACTGTCTTTCAGTTTTTTTTTTCTCAAAGGCTAGTGATCTCTCAAATCTCTACTTTGGGATTTTTGGTGGTTAATTGGAGATAAGAGCCTCAGATTTTCCTGCCTGGGCTGTCTTTGAACCCCAATCCTCAGATCTCAGCTTTCTGAGTATCTAGGATTACAGTTGTGAGACACAGTGCCTGGAAGACTCCTCATTCTTTACCATGACTAGAGACCATACTTCCATGGCCTTTAGCATACTTCTCTCTGCCCCAGTCTATTCAGAGAGCCACCATCTGGCAGGAAGTGATCCTGACTTCAGCCCCTTATAGGGCAGACCAAGTGAAGTTTGAGGCCTGTGGTGGGGTGCAGGGGTCTCAATATCTTCACATGCATAGCCATTGTCATACACAACTCCTCCTCATCACAGGGGACTGGGAACTGGGACATGACAGCAGAAGTGGCAAGAGTTTTCTGTGGCTTTGGGGAGGTGTAATGACATTATGGATTGTGTGGGAGTTTGGGATGAAACATCTTATTCTCTTACAAGCAGGTTGACCCTAGCCCTGTGGAACTGAAACTTGGATTTTTAGACTCTAGGCCTCAAAGTCCAAGAGTCCTAACTTAGATCAGGTCACTCAGCCCCATATATGAAATAAAGAGACACAGTGAAGCATAGAAAAGGAGATTTCTTTCATGGCAGCCATGGGAAGACAGCACTTCAGTACATTTCAAGCCATCTTCAGGGGTGCAGATATTGGCTTCAGCTTAAATAAAGAGAACTGGGGGAAGATGGTGAGAAAGGTATGCACAGTTAAAATAGTTCCAAGTAGAAGATATGGACTGCTGACCACTAGTTCAGTCTCTGTCTCTGGAAGAGTTCCAAAAATATTATCATTTTATTACCGGAATGGAACAGGAACAAATTGCCTGTCAGGGGGCAGGGGTGCCCTGATTTTCTGTTGCTTGTTTTTTAGATGAGCATTAGGCATTGGCTATTTGAATTTGCCTTCCATGCAAGATGCTTATCAGTGAATCTCTCTCTCCTGGAGCCTGACTGCAGGAGAGAACAGCTTAGATTAAAGAGAACACATGCAAAAAGTTGAGAGAATTTTGGTTCATTTGCTAAAAAAGCATATAGGTTGCCTCTTTTTTTATTGGGAAAATACTGTAAAGAGGGGTTACAATTACATGAGCAAGGTAATGAGTACATTTCTTATCAAGCATTGTTACCTCCTCCTTTGTTTTTCCTCTACCCTCCTTTCCCTCCCATCCCCACAACTACACTCCCCCTCCCCTGCCTAAATTGTAAAGTTCATTTTTCGACATAGCGTCTTGTACATCTCATTGTTACAATGGGTCCACCTGTATCCCTATGTAAACAATTTGTTTTTTCCCTTCCCATCCCCAAATTATACCAACATCAAATGCAATGAAAAGAGGGGTTATACCGTGGGAAAAGGACATACAAAGCAACAAAGACATCATCTTATAAATATGTTAGAAGCAATCGCAAGAAAGAAAAAACATTTGAGTCCTTATCTTGGAGTTCATTTCACCTAACATCAACTTAACTGACCGTTCTGCTTGTCTCAGACATATACTAGTTATTGCAAATAAGGGAAACCATGAGACCTATGTTTCTTTGGGCCTGGCTTACTTCACTTAATATAATTTTTTCCAAGTCTTTCCATTTCCTAACAAATGAGGCAATGTCATTCTTTCTGATGGAGGCATAGAATTCCATTATGTATATATACCACATTTTCTTGATCTATTCATCTACTGAGGGGGATCCTCTTACAGAACGACTTCCCCTTTTTCTTGGCAAAGGCAATAATACTGCTTCTCTTACAGGATTGTATGGAGGATCAAAAGAGCCTATTGCAGTCTAAGGAGGGACTGAAAAATGGATGGCTGCTTGCTTCTCCCCATTTTGTTCATGTCCTAGCATTTGACCCTACTTTTGATGGGGGGACCTTGAAGGAGCAACCTTTCCTCAAGACTTGATGGGATTGTGTCTATAGACACATTGTGTTCTGTTTGGAATCCTCTAGGAAGTTTGTGGTTGAACTCATTTCCTCTGTGTCTTGTTTCCAGGAGGTGGAAAGTAAGGCCTATTTCCGAGTTGAAGATTACATCCCTGCCAGTCTGCTAGACAGAATGACTGCTCTTCGGGTCCAGGTTGAAGTCTCTGAGATGCACCGGCTCAGTGCTGAGCTGTGGAGAGAGGATGCTGAGCTGGAGTTCTTGAGGGTGAGACCTTCTGGTTCTTCAGAGAGGGGCTAGGATTCAAGGAATGCCACCAGTGATCCTCTCTGAGCTGTCTCTGGGAACCAGAGGGGCTCAGAGTGCAGGGAGGTGCCAACAAAGGCCTCAAACTGCAAAAAAAGGAGCCTCCATCAACCTGAAGATCAGGGAGAGGCCTGTAGAAGCAGGAAATGCTTCCCCCTCCAAAGATGGGTAGGCTTTAGGGGATGAGAGTGGGGCTTTTCTTCAACCTTAGAAGGGCAGCTCAGCACATTTGTCATAGATGACATACAGGGTGACTAAAGCGCACACCGAAAGCCAAAGCAAAGCTGCTGGAAGGCCTCTGTGTACAGACTCCTGGCCGCAGTCCAGCACATTTTCTGTGTGCTCCCTGCACAAGGGAGTCTAAGGCTAGCACTCTATCACTTGAGCTACAATACAACTCTACTTCAAGCTCTCTTGGTGATTAATTGGAGATAAGAATCTCACAGGCTTTCCTACTTGGGCTGGCGTTGAACTGTAAAAGTGAAAGTGCTTTTCCAGTCTCTTTACCCCTTGAGTGAAAGCAGTAACATTTCATTCCCTTCCCACATTTGTGGGCACCCACAATGATGAATACCACTGCTGGTCCCACCATCTCCCTCCACTGTGGGCAGGTACTGTGGAGATGGAAACATGCGCTCCCTGCCCGATGACGGTCATCTGCCCAGGGGCAGAGACAATGCTGAGATAAACGCTCCACAGAGTCAACAACCATCCCAGCCACTCTAGGAGAGACCAGGACAGGAGTGGCTATCTTCCTTACAGATACAGCCGGGCATGGGGTACATGAAAGGGGCCCTCAGATCTTCTGGGACAGGTTATGTGGCTGGACCTTTAGATCTGACGAGCAGGGCTTTTTTTTTTTTTTTTTGGCTTGTTTTTTTTGTTTTGGTGCTGGTATCCGGGGCTTGAAGTCAGGGCACTGCGTTCTGCTTTAACTTTGAATCCTCAAGGGTGGAGCTTTACCACTTGAGCCACACCTCCACTTCTGGCTTTTTGATGGTTTGAAATAAACATCTCAGGTTTGAAATAAACATCTCAGGGACTTCTCTGTCCTCATTGGCTCTGAATCGTGACCCTCCAATATCAACTTTCTGAGTAGCTAGATTTGTAGGTATGAGCCACTGGTATCTGGCTTTGAACATTTTTATTTTTTATTTTTGTTGTTGTTTTTGTTTGTGCTGGTCCTGGGGCTTGAACTCAGGACCTTGGTGCTGTCCCTGAGACTTTTCTCCCCCTCAACATTAGCACTATACTACTTTAGCTCCAGCTTCACTTCGGGCTTTGTTGATAGCTCATGGAGATAAGAGTCTCACCAACTTTCCTACCTGGGTTGGTTTTGAACTTCATTTCTCAGATCTTAGGTGTGAGCCACTGATGCCTGGCTTTGAATGGACAGTGTTTAAAGGAAGCTCCCAAGTTGGGGAGAAATATTCTTGTCCATGTTTTTCTTTCTTTTAATGGAGACAGGCACCTGAAATCAGAGCCAGCAAAGTGAGGCCTGGCCGTGTCTTCATGGCTTGTCCTTTATCACAGCTGTCCTCACACCTAGCCTGGGGTCAGTCTGCAAAGGTTTCTCTGGAGAAGCCATGACTGGAGAGTGCTTCCTGCATCCCATGGTCCAGCCTCTGCACGTTCCCTGACCACAAGATGCAGTACTCATTCCCTTGATAAGAAGCAAGTGGTGACTTTAAAGCCATCTGATGGTCGTGGCCACAGAACTGAAAAACGGAGTCAAGGAACTGAGAACTCCACGCAGCAGGACATTCTTGCAAGACAGATGCTGCTGTGTGTGCCAGGCTCTGCTTAGGCCCCTCCCTCCCCTGGCTGAATGATGGAAAATAACCGCAAAAGCAGCCACCATCTCAGAAGCAAAAACATACAACCCTCCTCCCCGTTTTTTCCCTAGATTTTCATAGATGCACTGAATCAATTTGATTTCATTTGCATACAATCTTTTTTGGTGTCAGGAAATACGCTAAATTTCATGCTACCTACTTGGTGGGCTGGATGCAATGACTAATGCTGTAGGCTGCCTCCTCCTCCTTCTCCACTTCCTCCTCCTCCTTCCCCCTTCCTTTCCTGTTTCCTTCTTTTACTGTTTGTGGGGCTTGAACTCAGGACATGGCTACTGTCTCTGAGCTATTTTGCTCTAGGCTAGCACTCTACCATATGAGCCATAGTTCTATTTCCTGCTTTTTGGGTGGTTAATTGGAGATAAGAATCTCACAGACTTTTTTACTTGGGCAGGCTTTGAACTGTAATCCTCAGATCTCAGCCCCCCGAGTAGCTAGGATTATAGGCATGAGCCACTAGCACCCAGCTCGACTCTTTCTTCTTGGTACGGAGAGCTTAATGGAGAAAATACTCATCTCCAGAACTCACTGGAACCCTCTGCATTAAGGTGTGAGTTATTATTTTTTAAACAAAGTCTTTTAGGAATGTAAGCACCCTCATCATTTTGCCTTGTGGAATTAGCACACCTATATTTTAGTGGCTTTACCTTCCTCTCTTTGTTTCTATTCGTGCATATGCATATATATTTAAAAGTGGACTGACACATATTATACATATATACATGTGCATACACTTTTTTCCCCCGGTACTGGTACTGGGGCTTGAATTCAGAGTCTGGGCACTGTCTCTTAGCTTTTTCACCCACTTTTTCACTCAAGACTGATGCTTTGCCACTCAAGCCACAGCTCCACTTCTGGTTTTTTGCTGGTTAATTGGAGATAAAGAGTCTCACAGACTTACTTTGCCTGGGCTGGCTTGAAACCTTGATCCTCATATCTCAGTCTCCTAAGTAGCTAGGATTATAAGCAGCAGCCAGGACACATGGCTACCATGTACCTTTATATATTTACAATAATCCAATATCCTTAAAACTTGGAAAACCTAGTTTGACAAACCATAGCTTTCTCCTTCTATACTCTATTGTTTGTCACGTAAATTGTTTCCAACATGGGGCTATCATAAACAATACAGAGTGGCATTTTTCTTTTTTTTTAAATTTTTATTTATTTTTTATTATGAAAATACTGTACAGAGGGGTTACAATTACATGGGCAAGATAATGAGTACATTTCTTATCAAGCATTGTAGGCTCCTCCTTTGTTTTCCTTCCTATCCCTTCCCACATGAATCTTTAGCTGAATTTCCACCTAGTTCTTTAGTGGCAGAATCTCACCTTCACATGGAAAGTGGTGAGCAGTTTTAACTTTTTTGCTGTGTGCTGTGGAGACCACCTGGTTGTTCCAGTCATAGCTCTTATCCCTTGCAGTAGGCTGTGAATGCCTGGAGGGCCCTGGAGACTCCTAACCCACTGCAGAGCCTACTCTGTAAATAGTCACTGGATTATTTAATTATAGCTCCTCTTGGCTCTTTTTTCTTATTAAAACAAGAAAAAAAAAGAGGAAAGCATTCCCAGGTGGCTGCCTGCTGTGGCTGACCCAATTCCCGGATGCTGATCCTTCCAATTCATTACTTTCCACTAGAAGCAGGATTGGCAGCAGTCCAGCACTGGTACCACCAAACCCCATCCTCTGTCTGGGAGATGTGCTGCTACAAGAATGTGTTAATCCCACAACTTGTTTAAGATTAACTCACTGTTAACCACACTCGTCCAACTATGGAACCATGCTCCCACAAAAGAAGGAGTTGTCATGTGTTAATTACCCTTCCTCCCCCCTCCCTTCTCTTCCCCCTCTCAGTCTGTTGGAACCATACTGCTTATATCTTGTATTTTCTCTCACTTTTCAAAATGCATTCGCTAGATGACTGCAGATGCTTTATAAATATCCTTTGTACAAACTGCCTGATTATTTGTTTAAACCAGTTCTGTCCTCAGGAAATTATTTACCACCTAGGAGCAAATCCACCCCCCTCCTCCCTGTCTCCAACCTAACCCCGAAAATCTGCTTTGAACAAAACTATGAGGACTTGTCTCCATTATTCAGCCTATGCTCTTAGGATAGATTCTCAGAGGTTAAATTATAAGAGTCAGAGCGTGTGACCTGTTGTGAATTTCTTGGTGAGTATCTGGAAATAACAATCCATTTACTTCCAACAATTTTCAGGACAGCAAGGGTGCATGCAGCTTGATGCTCTTGGTTCTTGTCTTTTTTTGCTGTCTGCTGTAGGAAGACAGGGGATCCCAGTGGGATGGCCATGGCCCATTTCTCTCTCTCTCTCTCTGACAGAAATCCCCATGTAGGATAGAGGAGGAATGGCACCATGGGAGATGCTATAGCAGAGAAGAGACAGGCAATATTATTATTATTATTATTAGTGCTGGTCCTGGGGCTTGAACTAGGTCCTAGACACTGTCTCTGAGTTTTTGTGCTCAAGGCTGGTGCTCTACCACTTGAACCACAGCTCTACTTTCAGCTTTTTGGTGATTCATTGAAGATAAGAGTTTCACAGACTTTCCTGCCTAATCTGACTTTGAACCACAATCCTTAGAACTCAGTCTCCTAGGTAGCTAGGATTATAGGCCTGAGGCACTGGCACTTGGCTCATTATTTGATCTTTTACACACTGAAGATGCCCTTGGTGATGTTATGTCGGTTCATGTGTTTCCAATCTTCATGGATACCCTGCGTTTTCTTGTTTACAGTGAAGATTTGGGAGCAAACAGACTCACATGTCCACATTCCCAGAGTGGAAACTTTGGCACATTACTCAGATCGGTTGGACAATTTGTCATACCTTAACTATGTACTAGCATGGCTGTGGCTATTTCAGCACTGGTGCTCAGTACGTGTTGTTTGGGATGAGTTTGATGATGATGGTGGTGATGATGATGATGATACTGATGATGACAAAAAACAATGTCTCCCTAAAGTTAAAAGGAGGCTCAAGCAGTGAAATCAACACAAGGAAGACCGCTGCTCAATGAACAGTCCTGCCCTGGTGGGGCTCTTTGCAGCTAGAGAATGGGCACCAGTCCCCTCAGAGCCACTGTGGGCTTGCATGGCCATCGCTACTCTCTTAGATAATGATAACATTATGACTTGAAGAGGACTGTTTTATTCTAAACACCAAAATGAGCTGGGCACTGGTGCCTCAGACCTCTAGTCATAGCTACTCAGGAGCACAAAATCTAAGAATCATGGTTTGAAGCTACCTAGGCAGGAAAGTCTTTGAGACTCATATCTCCAATTAGCTAGAAAAAATAGCTAGAAGTGGAGTTCTGACTCAAGTGGTGAGTGATAAAGCTAAGGGACCATGCCCAAGCCCTGAGTTCAAGCCCCAACACAAGCACAAAAGAAAGAAAAAGAAGAACGTAAGAAGAAAGAAATGAAGAAAGAAATCACACAAGAAAGCACCGTGTCAGAGTTGGTGGATGTTTTAGAGTAAGAAAATATGCTAGCTGTTTCTTGAACTTATATGATGATGGCAGAAATAAACCAATGCATTGTTCATGAGGTGGTCTGAGGCCCATTATCTTGTACTAATAGAGTGGTGTCTCCTAAACTGGCCTTTCTCCTTTCTCCAGGTCACCCAGCAGCTTCCAGAATATGGAGTGTTCATTCACCGAGTTTTCCCAGAGAAGAAAAGACTGGAAGGGGAGATGGCCTTGGGAATCTGTGCCAGAGGTGTCATAGTCTACGAAGTGAAAAACAACAGCAGAATTGCAACCTCATGGTTTCTGTGGAGAGAAACTGGGAAGATCTCGACTTGTGTGAGTGTGGCTTAGTTTGTTGAGTGATGTGTGCTTCATTTTCTTTTTATCTGTGCAACCTTTTTTTGATAAAGTTGCTTACATCCTGGCACCTGTATTCTGGCGCACTGGAGGTACTTCAGTAAAGTTTACCAAGAGATTTAGGGAGGTCTGCAAGAGGCCATTTCTTCCCATCATCCTTCACTAGCTCATTCACAGCCTCAAGGATTACCATTGTCCTGTGGGAAGTTTCCTTGCACTGGGGAACCAGTCTACGTTGAGAGCAAGTTTGGAGGTAAAGGATGGAGAATAAGGAGGCCATAGGCTGAGTGGGGACTGCAAAGTTTGAATCATTTTCCTCATTTGTCAATTATCCCTGTATACCATGAGCCCAGGCACCTGACCTGGTCTCTCCTGGACAACATGTGTGCGATGTGGTTATGCCAGCCCAGGGGCCAGGGCCTAGGCATTTTTGTGCTCAAGGCTAGTGCTTTACCACTTGAGCCCCATCTTGCTTTTTGGTAGATAGTAGTCTCATGGACTTTCCTGCCTAGGCTGGCTTTGAACCATGATCCTCAGCTTCCCAAGTAGCTAGGATTACAGGCTTGAGCCACTGGAGCCAGGCCAAAAGTGGGGCTTATGAAGTGATAAAATTCAACACCCCAACCTCCAGTAAGTGCTTTATAAATTGGCTTAAATTTTGTTGTTGTTGTTGTTGTGGTTGTTGTTGGTTGTGAGGCTTGAACTCTGGGCCTGGCGCTATCCCTGAGCTCTTCAGCTCAAGGCTAGCGCTCTACCACTTGAGCCATAGCTCTACTTCTGGTAGTTAATTGGCAATCAGAATCTCATAGACTTTCCTGCCCAGTCTGGCTTTGAACCACAATCCTCAGATCTCAGCTTCCTGAGTAGCTAGGATTACAGGCGTGAGCCACTGGTGCCTGGCCTAGTTGGCTTAAATTTTATTAGTGTTTATTTTTTCCCGTATCAGGGACCATTGTTTGAATAAAGCTGGGAAGTTACTGAGTTCACTTCTCAAACTCAGTAACTTAAGAAAAACTACTTAATTCTCATTTCCATTCCCTGATGATCATCTTTCTTGGCACAATTGCTTTATTTTTCTAGGGAAAAAATTATCTCATGAAGTAATGCTCCCAGCTGCTTGCCACCAACTTAGCATTTTTCACAGAAAATGACGGTAGTATTTTATGCTCCTGTAAGCACAAAATAGGCAACACTGACAATAATGTGAGAATTAGCTCAGGAAGCTAGTTTCAATTTTGTTTATTAACAGCTAATGTCAAGATGCTTCAAATAATCACAGAGCATTCATTTTACCAATCTGCAGAGAAGAGGCCAAGGAAAGAGAGATGTTCTTTATTTATTTTGGAATGTGGCATGTTGTTTGAACTCAAGGACTTGAACTTGCTCAACTGATGCTCTACTATTTGAGCCACACCTCCAATTCAGTTTGTGCTCATTATTTTGGAGGTGAAGTCTGGGTGAAAATCTGGGTGAAATCCTGGCTAGGCAGGATTTGAACCATGATCCTTTGGCTGTCAGCCTCCTGAATGCCTAGGATTACAGATGTGAGCCACCAGTACCTGGCTAAGATACCATTTGTAAAGAATATTATTCATTGGTATATTGGCAGGCATAATTTGATGTTCAATCAAACAAGTGTTCCTTTTAAAATAAGAAGTCTACCCATTTTGATTACTGTTCTTGCGCATCAGCCCTGAACATAAATGCATGGAGCAGAAGATGTAAGCTATGTAGGATCCTCTTTAAGGAAAGTTATAAAGTACTCAATGAAAGGGAACAGTGACTTAGAATGAGAAAAAAATCACAAAAAAACCTTTTTGTGTGTGCCAGTCCTAGAGTTTGAGCTCAAGGTCTGAGCACACTCTCTTTGTGATTTTGCTCAAGGCTAGCACTTTACCACTTGAGCCACAGCTCCATTCCTGGTGTTTTGGTAGTTTTTTGGAGATAAGATTCTCACAAACTTTGTCTGGACTGTCTTTGAACTGCAATCCTCAGATCTCAGCCTCCTGAGTAACTAGGCCTGGATTGGCTTCAAATCTCATTCCTCAGATATCAGCCTCCTGTTATTAGGTGTTTTAAAGAATCTAATTATAGTTTCAAATTTCTAATGAGTACAAAAATATCCTCCATGCCAGATACTGGCTTTGTATAAATCAGCCCTCCCTTAGGTGTGGAGTGTTGCAGGACATGATAAATTGCTTATACTACTGCCCCTGTCGGCTTTGTGTTGAGAGCTGGGTGCGTTGGCTCAGTGGAAAGGGTGTTCTGAGATGCCTGGTAATGAAGTAACTAATGCAAAAAAGACTAAAAGCCACAAGAGTAGAGCCCACTAACTGTAGCCCCATCTAAATACCTAGGAATTCACTTAATCAGTTTCTCCTTAGAGGGATTTCTCCTAGATCACCAGCACTACCTCCTGACATGTGTTAGCTTCCCATGACTGTAACAAAATACTCAAGATGCTTAACTTGTAAATAGAAAATGTTTTATTTTGGCTTATAATTTTGGAGATTTCAGTCCTGGATTGATTACCTGTGTTGCTTTGGGCCTGTGGTGAGGCCAGTATATTATGCCCAAGGAGCAAAGAGAGTGGAGAAGAGAGTAGAGTACTAATATTCTCTTCAAGGATACACCCCCCAATGACTTAACTTCATCCCACTGACCACACCTACTATCCCCCATAGTGCCACTCTGAGGGCTCACCTTTAACCTTAGTGGACATTTAAGACCCTAACTACTGCAGAGCAGAAGCCAGAGAGGTAGGAAACTCAGTAGTTTTAACTGATGGTGGTAGAAACATCGTATACTCTACATTTTACAGGAACAGGTAAACACATTGTCTCAGCCTTTCCAGGAAAGGTCTTCCCAGGTAAGGTGCTGGAGCTTCTGCTTCTAAGGACTTTCCTGCAAATCTGCCTCTGCCTGGAAGAATATTTTAGGTTTGCAAAGATGCATCAAAACAGACAGGTTTTGATTAAGCAATCAGGAAAGCAAATAGCAACCATAAAATTACAGGGAGTGAACTGTTTGAAATGGCAAACTGATGCTTTGCAACCAACTGTGGTGGTCGGGGCAGAAGCACCCAGATTATTAGTACTGCAGCCTCAGGTGGAGGGATGTACTAAAAGGTTTTCAGGGTTGTGCAGAGCAGCCTGAGGTTGGATTTATACAGTATCTCATTCAGGGAAATGCATGCACAGGAGGAAGTTTGCTGCAGATGTGAATTTCCCATTACATGATGTTACCAAAGTGGAGACAAATAGAAATAAAAGCCAAACCACTGCCATTAAGACTGTTTATAGCTTTATGGTAAGACATAGATGGCTTTTTTCACTCTCAGTGTTTAATCTCTTAGAACTCCAGCATCCAATAGGACAGTTTTGTTGACAAGTTGTAAACTGAATGTCCCCTTTTCTTCCTCTTTCCTCTCCCTTACTCTCTCCCTTCTTTTCCTCCTCCCTCTCTCCCTCTCCTCCTCTTCCTTCTTTTCTCCCTGTCTCTCTCATTCCTCCTCACTCCCTCTCCATCTCACCCTCTCTATTCTCTTTACTTTCTCTTCTGTTTTTCTCTCCCAATCTCTTTCTCCCTACTTTCCTACCTACCTTTCTCCTCTCCCTCTTACTCTGTCTCTCCTTTGTGTGAGTGATTTTTCCTTCATAGATTTCCCCCCCCAAGAATCATTATTAGAACTGAAAAAGTATCTTAGTTATCCAAACAAAAATTAATTCTTGAGTGAGCTTAATTTAAATTTGTCTGGACTGTATAAAATGATGTCAGCAGGCAGTGACAAATACATATTCAACTTTGGGAAAGCATGTACAAGATGATCAACTGAATCCGAAGGAAGAATGATTAAGTTCAGGACACTACTAAGAATTCTTGAGAGAAATATGAAATGTAAAGCAATGCTAGGTATAGCATAGTTGAGTTGGATTCAGAATACATGTAAACTGAGCCAAGGAGATTTAGAAACTACATTGGTCAGTAACAGTGAAGGGTATTTATGAATGATGAAGTTATCTAAAATAAGTTGACGTGGGGAATTTCTCAGAGGACAAGCAACAAATACTTGCCTGCTTTTCATTAATATCTGACAGACCAATGGAAATGGAGTTGAGACAGATCTGCTTTTGGGAAGATAAGAAACTTCAGGGGTGGAAGGATTGTTCCAAGCATTAATTAATTAATTTAGTTTGAGTACTGGCTCAGGGAATCATACTCTTGCTTAGCTCTTTCCTCTCAAGGCTAGTGCTTTACCAGTTGAGCCACACTTCCACTTAGGGTTTTTTGCTGGTTAACTGGAGATGTGAGTCTCATGGTTTTGTCTGCCTGGGCAGGTTTCAAACTGTGATCCCCTGGACTTAAGCCTCTCGATTAGCCAGGATTACAGGTGTGAGCCTGTAATATCTAGAGTAGAGGTTTTATTTGAATGTTATATATAAATTCATATTTAATAACACATTATTACTTTGAGTTATTTAGAGTTACATTTTGCAAAAAGTTGTGATGTCCACAAACTCAATATAAATAGTTCCAAGGTGTAGACCTCACCAGTTTAGCTAGTAAGCAACATAAATATTATCATCTTGCATATAGGCCTTGAAAATAAAATGTAGAGAAGCATTTCTTGGTGGTGTGGCTTCAATTCCTGCCACATCATGCTCCATTTCCTCATCTGTAACACTGAGATAATGACAAACTCTCCCTCATTCTGTTGCTGAGAAGACAAAAAGGCATAATATCCTCAAAGCCTCAGAATAGAACCTGGCGCAGAACCATAACTGTGCCTGCCAGAAAGCTGTCACCAGTTGGGTGGATATTTTTTCCTTCATCTAGGATAGAAATCAGCCAGAGGCTACTTGCAAAGAAAAAATAAATGGAGGCAGATATAGTAGTTCAAGCCTGTAATCCTAGGTGCTTGGGAGGCAAAGATGGGGGGAATCAAGATTAAGACCATCCTGGGCAAAAGGAAGTTCATGAGACTCCATCTCAACCAATGGTGCAATGTGGTGGCAGGTGCCTTGTACCCTCACTGCAGGGAAAGCACAATGGGCACAGGTACAGGGAACTACAAGTAGGAGGATCACAATCAAGGTTGGCCTGCGTGTTAAGTGACACTCTACCTTGAAAATAACCAACATAAAGAAGGATTGAAAGTGTGGATGAAGTGGTAAAGTGCCTGTCTAGTAAACATGCGGCACTGAGTTCAATCTCCAGTACTGGAAGAAGAGAGAGAAGGAGAAGGAGAAAAAGAAAAGAAG